GCGGGGAGACAAAGGGCCCGCGCGCGGCGGGGACTCCGGGGACGGTGGGGGGTCCCCGGCGCGCGCCCCGACTCGCTAAGCGGCTTCCGAGGCGGCGGCGGCGGCGCCCGCGCACTTGGCCATTGTCCGAGCGGCCCGCCGCCCCCGGCCGGCCCGCGCCCACCTACCCGCGGCGGGGGCCGGGCAGCCGCACAGCACCAGCACCAGCAGCAGCAGCAGCAGCGGCCACGGCGGCCGGGGCGGCGCTGCCTCCATGTTGTCCGGCGGCCGGACGAGCCCGCGCCGCGCTCACTCGGGCTCCATGGCGCGGCGGCGGCGGCTCCGGCTCCTCGCGCGGCTCCCGGCGCCTCCGCCTCCCCCCTCGGGCGCCGCAGACCAGGACGACTGGGAGGAGGAGGGAGCAGGGCGCGCGGGAGCGGAAGCCGCGCCGCGTCTCCGCCCCCCGCCGCCGCCCGCGCCCCCCGCGCCGGCCGCGCCCTCCCGCGGGCGCCCCCCGGAGCCGGCCGGCGGCCCTGGCGGCCCCAGCGGCCCAGGTCCCCGCGGCCCCTCCCCGCGCTGCCCGCCCTGCCCTGGGGGCGCCGCCGGGAGGCTCGGCGCGCGGCTGGGGCGCGGGTTTCCGCCCTGCGGGGTTGGCCCGGCGGCTGACCCGGCCGGAGACAGATATTCCACCTGTGGAGCCTTTATGAGTGGGGAAACTGAGGCAGGGCGGGGTTGCCCAAGGGCACACAGCGAGGCAGTTTTAGGGAGGGACGCCTGGGGCTCCATGGGGCGCCCCGACACTCGTTCTCACCTGTGGAGGGCAGAGGAGGGGACAGGACAGAAGGGCATGAAGCTGGCCGGCCGGGAGTGGAGGTGGGTTTGAGGTTTTGCTTTAAACTAAATGTGTGCCCTCTGCCTTAGTTATGAACTAAGACACGAAGCCTGCGAAACACACACGCTCCTCTAAAAGTGCCTCTAGGCTGATGGAAGAAAGTCCCGCCAGGCTCCCGGTCGCCACCTTTGAGTCCTTCAACAAGCAGGCCAGGGCCTGGGGCCTACTGCCCAGCGCGTCAGCTCAGCCACCGAACCCTCCAGTCATAAGAGGGGCTGGGAGGGGAAGCACCTCACCCAGGCACAGCCCGGAGGGGGCACGGAAGGGGCTCTGGAACCAACAAGCCCAAGTTTGAGCTCCCGGTCTACTTCCTAGAACGACTGTGCCCTTGGCGGGTCTAAATAGAACGACTCTGGGCACTCCTTCCTCCCTTGTAAAGCGAGGACAGCAACACGCACCTTGCAGGTTCAGAAAGAGCCTGCAGTACCTCACGGAACTGGGCGCTCCCGAACTTCTGCGTTCTTCCAGATTTGTGACAACTTTGCCCGGCTGGCGTCAGGCCGAACGCCTCTGCCGTCATGGGGTTTATATTCTAGGAAGGCAGGCCAGCAAAAACAAGAAGGCAGAAAATTAAAACAACAAAAGCCGCATTGACAGACCGTGGGGAATGCCGTGGAAAACGAAGGGGTGCTTGGCTGTAGTGTCTGGGGAAACTCTGGTTTAAGGAAGTAAGGATGCTTGAGCCGCCACCAAGGAGCAGCCTTCTGGCGAGAGGGCAGTTCAGGAAGAGCAGACATCAATGGAAGAGGCGCTGGGGCAGTGGCAGCCTGGTCGCTGGACTCAGAGGAGGAACGACATCAGGCCACGAGCTGGAGCTGGAGGTGGAAGGTGCAGGAGAGGCCTGCTGGGGCAGGCATATGCCAGACCTCAGACAGGGAAGAGGAGTCAAGAACCCCACGCTGGGCTTCGTGGCTCACACCTGTAATCCCAGCACTTTGGGAGGCCAAGGCAGACTCATCAAGAGGTCAGGAGTTCGAGACCAGCCTGGCCAACATGGTGAAACCCCGTCTTCACTAAAAATAAAAAAGTTAGCTGATCATGTTGGCGCACAACTGCAATCCCAACTACTCAGGAGGCTGAGACAGGAGAATTGCTTGAACTTGGGAGATGGAGGTTGCCGTGAGCCGAGATCACACCACTGCACTCCAACCTGGGCAACAGAGCAAGACTCCGTCTCAAAAAAAAACAAAACAAACAAAAAATTCTACCCCATGAGCAGTGGGCAGCTGGACTAGGAT